AAGAGACAGAGAGGGAGGGAAAGAGACAGAGAGGAAGGGAAAGAGACAGAGAGGGAGGGAAAGAGACAGAGAGGGAGGGAAAGAGACAGAGAGGGAGGGAAAGAGACAGAGAGGAAGGGAAAGAGACAGAGTTAGATATGTAGTTGGGTGAGTGATTGATAGATTGAGTGAGTGCACATGTGTGCAGGTCTCTCTTTACCTGACAATTTTCAATATCCCAGAAGACCCCAATAGGAGGAAGACGATCACTGTTATAAGCAGCCCATGATTTACTTTGTGTCTGTCCTTCCTGATCTTCCTTGTTGTCATCATCATCTTCACCCTGCTCTAAGGCAGCTAGTTCTTGTTCAAGTTCATATTCAACATCTGAACTCATTAAATCAGCATCTACTCCATTCCCACAATATGAGGAGCCAAAGTTACTTAAATCATTGCTTATCTGTGTCTGGTATAAAGGCCGTGTAAATTGTTCTGGAGTTAGAATATCAGCTTGAGAGCTTTCCTCTTCCCTGTAAGTCAGACCATTGCAATTTGGTTGCAATGTCTGTGATGTGCAATAAGAATCTTCGTTGACATTTAGCAATGTGCTTTCACTGACATTTAGTAGTGTGCTATCCTTTTCATCTTCCAGTTTCTCATCTGTGTCTTTCTTTAGAGGGATTATAGAATTCATGTAAGCTACACTATAAATTTCTTGGGTCAGGCATGGAGAAGGAGATTTGAAGCTTTCTGGGGTTAACAAGGGCAACAGTGAGTTTTCTTCCTTTGAAGAGCCTCTATTGAAATTACACATTTCATTGGCCAAATCTGATTCATGTCCTTGCCCCTGCTTCTCTGTATTCCAGCTAATACAATTTCCTACACCGGTAGGAAGCGAAAGAATTTTCTGTGGAGCAGCAGATATGACACAACTCGCTGGTGCAGTGTTTGATGTAGTCAATGTTACTATTTCCTTTCCATCCATTACTTCAATTTCTGGATATAGCCTATCACTGTTCTTCACATAACTACTCCTAGCATAGTCAATGCTATCAATTCTCTTAACTGACCATTTGCACTCTGCTGAAGTTACTTTAGTTTTACACAGCCATGACTGCTCTACAGTATCCACTGTAGACTGGCTGAGGTCATTATTAGAATTATAATAAAACTGATCGCCATTTCTTTCTCTTCTTCCAGAACTTTCTGGAGCCATTGTAAAATCGGTTGGTCCAAGAAGACCTTCTGCTGATGCAGAAGGTGGTGAGGGTAAAATTTCTGGGAAGTCTGCAATGAAAAATAACAATTACTAAGACACCTACTAAAAAGTTTATGCCTTATACACATTCTGATATCTGCTTAATCAAAACACAGGATCATATAAAAATCTAAGAATCCATCTTTCTAATAATTGCACCCAGTTCAAGAATATTCTACTAGTTCATGACATTAAATCAAAACATGTATAACAAGTCAAATAGAATACCTACCAGATTTCCCAAACATAATGAAGTTAAAATTCAGTACAGGACTCTGACCCTGTGAAGAAAAAAAATATATTAATATTAATAGTTGAAGTATACACATACAAACAACACAATAATGTTTTCTTTTTTAAATACAACTATCCCTCTGTAGGTACATATATCAATTATTTTGAAGTGGTTTTATTTGTCATATATGAGGCATCTGGAAGTAAAGGGGTTACATTACCAGATCTGACATTTTTAAGCATACCAAAATTTATTAAACAATCTAAGTTGCTGTGACTGGGTGAGAATAGGGTTGATGGGGGGCTCTGTCTCCTAATACTCCCCTGACAAACATTGTCTTCACTTTGATGTGAACGGCAAGGTAAAGCTGAAACTCAAGAGCACCGAGTGGACTTAGACGGCGAGCAGTGCTTTCTGCGATCCTTTTCCATTATTTGTGGCATTACCGTTTGTTACTTCCTGTACCAATGACTGCAACTTTAAGTCCTCTACAAGAATACTATCTTCAATTTACCCTAGCCTGGTGCATCCATACCATAAGGATTAACCAAATCCGTTTCTCTGACTCCCAAATATAGTGCAAGCTACTCCGACTCTTATAACAAAAGAATTGAGGGAACACTGTCAATAAGGAGTAAAAAGAATTCTTTGATGTCATGTAGTGCCTATGTAAGTGTTTATTGCAGTTAACTAGACAGTAACCTTTGTGCAATTATCAAGATATATCAGAAAAAAAAATTGTAGAACTTTGCAAATGATTTATCAAAAAAATCATGAAAAATCAGCATTTTGTTTTAAAATTAAATGGTTCATACCTTACGCAGGCCTAAAAAAGACAATTACAAATACTACTATCCTTTACCTTGATTTTTGAAAATATTTTCTGGTATCTTACATTGCTGTTAGTATATGTCAATAACATTTTAATAATCAAAAGGTCAGTAATAAAAATAACAGCATTTGTATTGATAGTATTAAATAAAAAGTAAAATCAGGTATAGTCACAAAGTCTATTAATTGACTCCTCT